TTCCTATACATTGAGCAAACCGCAACTTAGGAAGAGTGCCATCGACAGCCAATTCATCAAACCTTGTTTCGATTTCTGACCAGCCTTCGCTGCCCACATTTTTGGTCATGAATTTGAGCCCCTTGAGTGCACGAGCAGCCCCGGACTTGGTCCTATCTACCCTCTTGAAGCTCTTGGAAGATGTCATGCGCTTCAGTTCCTGGGACACTTGTCTCAATCTGAACGAGAGTTGGGAGCCAAGAGACAGCGATGAAGGCCTTCTCTCTAGCTTGCTCGCTAGCATTGCAGTCTCAGAGTCGCCTCCTCTGATGTTGTGCACCAACACGGTGTCGTCGCGAACATCCAATGTGATTTCAACGTAGCATTCTTCTTGATCGCTGCCTTTGAACCTTGCACTTCTTTTGCTGCTGTTGTTCCTCTTGTTGGTCACTAGGGGTCCGCTTAACGGACCGCTATGGCCAACTCCTGTGCTTTCTGTTTCGGACAACGAATCACATCGGTGTTCTTGAATCTCCATTGCTGTTGGAAAATCAGTACAGAAGAAGGTGCTTGTTTTCCTGGAAAAAAACAAAAGAAAAAAAAACCAGTTTGGAGTTAGCAGGGTGACAATATGCTAGTGAAAAGACAATACTGCCCCAAATGAATTATATGCTATACAAGGGCATTTTTGCCTTACAAGAAAGAGTTTCTTGGTGTTGCTGTCAGCTAAGATAACTTGGGAATGAGGAAGGAAAAGGTTGAGAAAGTTGGGGTGAGGGGATATGGAAACTTGGAAATGGGAAGGGTATTTATATCGAAAGAAAATGAGAAAGTTGGGGTGAGATTTGGAGGGGATATGGAAACTTGGAAATTGGAAGGGGGTTTATATAAATAAATAAATAAAGAAGAGAAAGTGGCTGAAACCGGGGAGATTGGAGAAGTCAAAAAAAGAGAGAAACCAGGGGGCGCAGCTGGGTTGTTTGTTGTGAACTTGTGAGTGCTGCTAGTTGATGAAATCATGGGAGTTGTTAGACTTCAAATATATGACACCAAAAACGTCAACGCGACAATGTGAGAATTGATGAACCTGTGAACTTTAACCAACTTGAAGAAAAAAAAAACTACAAAGCCTTCGTTATGGTGCTAGATTAATCAGTTTGTGCAAGTCAACTTCAACTCTTAGTACTTTTTAATTTTTTTTTACAGTAAGGTTTGCGATTTTGAAAAAATATCGATTCAATCCAAAGCGTGCTCAAGCGTGTAGATTAGTAATCATTTTAGCTGCATAATGGAGGGTGACGAAAAGATAAAGATATATAAGAAAATTTGTAATGCTAATTGCTATCAAGGTCAAAATGAGTGTGTAACAGTGTATTAAGATATAGCAGAATATTATTGTGGTTTGATTACCCCATAATATCTTAATAAGGAGAAGATTGTGATTAGAGTAGCCAAAATTGACAGAAACAAATAATTATATCTATCCAAAGTCAGTTAATCCTCGTGTATTTCGCATGGCACATATAAAATACCAGTTAATACCCAAAACTCACTAATAGTAACATGAAAAATGTTATATAATTACAGAATGACAAAGATATCTAATTAATATTATACAAATAGTAGTGTCGTAATCTGGGAAGAAGAAAAAAAATTCAAAATTCTACATATATCAAGTCAACAAATAATTGTAATAATAGAGGGGGGGAAAGACAATAAATAATTGGGGCATGCGTGATGCGTGAAATGAGCTTTTCCATCCTTAAAAATTGCAACATGTTCCCTTTTATTTATCCAAATATGCTTAGTTAGGTCTAACAAAATGATCTTTGGCGCAATGGACTTGAAGTTAAAGTGGTTAAGAGCATCTACTCTTGTATCCAAGGTTTTAGATTCGATTCCCCCTTCCTCAATATCGCTTGTATAAACAAATTATTTAGATCCTTGGCTTTACTACAACTATTTGTGAGTGCTCAATCACAATCATACAAAGAAAGATTGAAAGGGTCCTCCTTTTTATTTGGGGACCATATAAAAAAAAAGTTGGTCACATTTTGAAAATTTACAGCTACGAGTGACTCAATAACACAGGAGAAAGTGCATGTTAGGTAAAAAAGCATATGAATGATGTGTTGGCGAATGAAATATCAGAGTAAAATTAAAGCAATTATGGATTTGAAAGATCAAAGTAAAAGTAAAAGCAATTAATAGTTTATTTTAATATAACAATCCCAATGAATTTGGTTTAATTCATTTCAAACCGAGCCCGACACTCACGATCATATCAAAGAAAAAAATTATTTATGTGTACTAAAATTAGACATCGCAATTATGATGTAGTCATGTGTACACATTAATCATTATCTATATGAATTAGAATTTCCTTGGTCTATCAAACCAAATATTTGTACAACTTCCTCAATTTTCAAGGATTGATATTTTTTGGAATCAGCCAGCCAAAATTAAGCTTTGGCTAATCTCAGTCAAAATGGTGAAGACGGTGATACAGTTAAAAACTAGCAAACAAGTAAAAAAAAAGAAGTCACATCACAGAAAGAAATTTGCATTGGATGGAAGAAGAACATGTCAAAGCAAGTCACTTCAGCTTATAATTGGGCTATAGATTAAGCCCACATCCCTTACATTTTAGTTCAAAAATGAGGGATTTGATTGCTTTAAACAGGCCCAGATTGAATACAAGTTTAACGGTTTCAATCTGGTCATTCAATAACAACTTTGTAATTAATTTAACGGCTATTAAGGTACCCCTCGTCATAACCCTCCAAACTCTGATCATTTACTAGAAAAGAAAATTGTTTGTACGATTTTTTTTGGTGAACAAATTGTTTGTATGATTGATGACACGTAACAATGACCGACTGCAACTACGATCCAGTTCAGTATTCTGCCAGCTTTTGGCAGAATGGAACCGTGTATCTTGTTTGTCTTGAGATATCATATGGACAAAGCTGCTATGGCCTATGGGCCAATAATGGGTAGTAAAAAGAAAGGAATGTAGATAAAAGTGAAAACCACTCTAAAACTATACACAGTGAAAAAATATGTACAAGTGGAGCCGAATATCGAACCTAATACCTTTTATGCATAAGTAAATATTCTTAATCATTTAAGCTACAAACGAGTTGCACTGAACCAGTTTTTTAGTTGAAGAACTAATCGAGGGTGAGATTATGATCTTCACAAAATGGTTGGTAACAACATGGCTACAGGCCATTGTTCACAACAAGACAGTAAGTGGTACATGATAAGGTCCCCCATTGCATAGTGTCTGAATAAATTCTAAGCAACCGCTCATCTAATTACTAACGACATGCAGGTACTCTATATGTTGTCGGTTCGAGTCTCTCTCTCTCTCTCACTCTCTCTCTCTGTGTCTGTGGGGGTTGTTAGGTGAGGGGACAACAAAGAAGCTAATGACTTCATGAAATTAGGTCATGAAATATGAATTAATCACACTGGAACTTTGGTTGCTACTCCAGAAAGAGCAACTATTAACAACAGTACGACCTAGCCATTTAAAGTATGAGAAAGGGACAAGCAACTGCTAATCAAACTTCAGCCTCCGCATAATTTGACAAATGATCAAAGATCTTATAGATTTTCACTTTTGGATGTTTTGCTTTTGGTTTCTCTTGTAAACAAACAAAGACCACATGGGAAAGTGATGGTCCCATTTGTGCATACCTCTCTGCAATTATGAGGGTTGGAGAGAACTGGTAGTAACACATCAACCTTCTAAATAGTTAGGCAAGGACCAACAAAAATGGGACCCATCAGGACTTGTTTTGATTTGATGACTTTTAGATACTAAAAAGCCATTTTCAAGTGCAAATCCCATGACCCAATTGGCATGTAAAGGCCCTTCATGAAAGTCATCACTGAAACTGAGAGAAAAATGATGATGAACTTCGTGAGTAGTAATTGATGAGTAGCAGAAAACATGTTCACCTTTTCTCTAGCAAAAAATGCATTTGAAGAAAATAAGACAAGAAGAAATGGTGTCAAATTAGGATTTAGAACATCCTTGAAAGACAATATAGAGATGCTTTTGCAGAGGTATTTATGGAGGTGAGAGGAAATAAGAGTGCATGAACAGGGAAGTAAAGAAGGGCCAGCACAACTTCAACTGCCAGGCTCAGAGGTTCCTTGGAGTAGCATTTAAGACTCTCTCTCTCTCTCTCTCTCTCTCTGCACTTGATCTTCTTTGCACACCACCTGTATACTGATATACCCACCCAAAGACCCTTTTACAAAGAAAAAAAAGAAGATGATTTATAAACAGAAAGTTAGATTGGTGCTTTGATGGTTTTTGGTTGAGACAGAAAAATGGGATACAGTTTTCAGATTCTCCACATGATTTTCATCGTATCTTTTTTCTTTTCATTACCCAATGCTCACATTATTACTGCTGATGCTTTACCAGATGCAGCAAAGGACTTCAGTGTTCATGGCCTACAACAAATGTCTTTCATGGAGGACAATATTGATGGGATCCAAAGCCTGCACATTGAGAAAGTTTCAGGGGAAGATGAGAATGAAGAGAATGCAATCTCAGTTGTGGAAAAGTTCAGAGCTTTACTTGGTTTGATGAGCTTCCAAAAGAAAATGCCATCAGTTGGTGACACTGAAAATGTGTCTCCATCACCTTCTCCATCACCCTTCAGTGAAGCCGAGGCTCCAAGTCCAGCTCCTGCTCCTGCTCATGTGCTGCACATCCATGCACATTCACATCCTCCACATCGCTTGCACTCAATCCCAAAGCCTCACACAATTCCAAGGGAGAGTAAAGGCAGAATACTTGTAGCAATTCTTGTTTCTGCAGGAGCTGCCACTGTGATTTGTGTCCTTAGCCTCATTTGGGCTTGCAGGAAGTACAAAAAAGCCAAGAAGAAACCCACAAGAGTTATTTCAGTGTACAGCAAAAAGGGAGGAGCAAGAGGTGGATCAAAGTATGGTACTTCCCAAAAATCAGCAAGCAAGGTGAGCTTAAACCCTGGCACCACTGATCTCATGTATATTGAATCATTAGGCATGGATTTAGAGCAACAACAGCTTTCGTGTCCTAAGGAAACATGTGAAACTGTAAACACATCACCAAATCTTAGCACAGCAAGATGTACATTTCTTGAGAGGGAAGAGCCAAACCAAGAACTGATAAAATCAGAATTTGATGACAATGCTAGTAGTAGTTCTTCCACAAGGGAAATTATGTCTGTTCATGAGGATATTGCAGAGCCAATCAAATATGAATCTAATTGTGCTAATTCCTCAACTACGGAAAAAGTTATTCCCATTGATTCTTATTCCTCTGATGATGAATCATTCCATTCTTTTGGAGACTCAAATTCATCAAACATCCGGCTTTCGAATGCTTCAGCAGGTAGTCTAGGTGATGCATCCGACATTCTCTCCACAATTGTGTCAAACAGAGAACCTTGTTTAGCACCCTCTTTTATGAACTTACCAGATCAACCAGCAACCCCAAACCAAAACCCAACTCCAGTTCTGGATTTACAGTCTCCAAGAAATGCAGAACACAAGATACCAACTGCACCATGCTCTTCCAATTGTGAAAAGAATTTCACATCCCCTCCAGCACCACCCCCTCCACCCCCACCCCCAATCATACACTTTCCTCCTTTCCATCCTTCTTCTAGTTCAGCTAGAATTGCATCCAAAGCTTCATGCTCTTCTTCTACATTGCCAAATCTATCATCTCCAAGACAATCAGATTCTTCTTCTGGATCAAACCAAACCCCAGAAGGTGGATTTTCGGTTTTGCCTCAAAACCCCTCTGGACCTTCAGAAACTCCACCTCCTATTCCTCCACCACCTTGCCCACCTCCCTTTTCGAAAGTAAATAATAGCTTTTCCAGAGGTCCACCTCCTCCACCACTCCCTCAATCTACAACACTGGGAAAAGATGGAACTCCATTGCCTAAACTGAAGCCGTTACACTGGGACAAAGTTAGAGCTGCACCTGACCATTCTATGGTGTGGGACAAACTGAGATCAAGCTCATTTGAGTAAGTGACAATATGTTGTTGGTTACAATTTGTTTTCTCCTTTTCTGTTTAAATCTGAACAAATCATGTGTCTTGAAACAGGTTGGATGAGGAAATGATTGAATCACTTTTTGGGTACAATCTACAAGGCTCAATGAAGAATGATGAAGCGAAAAGCAAGAGCCCTTCCCCAAGCAAGCATGTGCTTGAGCCAAAGAGACTACAGAACATAACCATACTCTCAAAAGCCCTGAATTCTACGGCCGAGCAAGTATGTGAAGCACTTGTACAAGGTATGCAACTCCTAATCTTATATCATTTGTACTATAAACAATCAAAATCAAGGGTCTGTTATAGCCTTGAGGTGGTAATAAAGTAACAATTTAATATTAACCAAAATGAAATTCTGTATAAATGTCCTATTAATTGGCTGAAGTCCTATTGTTGGCATTTGGATAGGTCCCATAAGATCATAATTGCTTAGCAGGATAAATGCCCTCTACACTTCTAGCCAATATATTATAAACTTCATGTCATTTAACAACATTAAGATATTAACAGGAAATGGCTTGGGTTTACAACAACTGGAAGCACTTGTAAGGATGGAACCCACCAAGGAAGAAGAGGCTAAGCTCTCTGGCTACAAAGGAGACATCAATGAACTAGGATCAGCAGAGAAGTTTGTGAAGGCAGTGCTTAAAGTACCCTTTGCCTTTCTACGAGTCGAAGCGATGCTTTACAGAGAAACTTTCGAAGATGAGGTCGTTCATCTCAGGAACTCCTTTTCAGTGCTAGAGGTAACCACCAAACCACATTATGCAGCAAGAAGTACATTTGAGCACAAACTAATCTCTTCCTTTTTTATAATCATAATACTATAGGAGGCCTGCAAGGAACTGAGGTCAAGCAGGCTCTTCTTGAAGCTACTCGAAGCGGTGTTGAAAACTGGCAATCGGATGAATGTGGGAACTATCAGAGGAGGAGCTAAAGCATTCAAGCTAGACACTCTCCTCAAGCTCTCTGATGTAAAAGGAACTGATGGGAAAACTACCTTGTTGCATTTTGTTGTCCAAGAAATAATAAGGGCAGAAGGAATTCGAGTCTCAGATAGCATTATGGGGAGGATCAGCCAGAAAAACAAAATCAAAACTCTAGAAGAGAAGGAAGAAGATTACAGAAGAATGGGGCTAGACCTTGTTTCTGGTCTCAGCACTGAGCTCTACAATGTGAAGAAGACAGCTACACTAGACTTGGATGTTCTTGCAAGCAGTGTCTCAAATCTATCAGATGGGATGGCCAAAATAAAACATCTAATACACAAGGAGCTATGCATGGATGAAAAAAGTGGGAATTTGATCAGTTCCATGAAATCTTTCATAAACTATGCAGAGAAGAGCTTGAAAGAGTTGCAGGGTGATGAGAACAGGGTCCTGTCACATGTGAAAGAGATCACAGAGTATTTTCATGGGAATGTGAGCAAAGAAGAAGCCAACCCACTTAGGATATTTGTGATTGTTAGAGACTTTTTGGGCATGTTAGATAATGTTTGTAAAGAGCTTAGGAGCTCAAAAGCCGCACGCACTCCAAATCCTCTTGCTCCATTCCGATAGATTTTATTGTTTGGTGTGTTCATAAGATGCAAGCATTCTATTCTTTAAGCTGGTTTTGAATTTTTTTATGTAGAGTTTTGAATCATTTCAATTGAATTAGTTACTTTACCTTAAGGTTGTGCTCGGTTAAATTTGTTATCCAACCCGTGAATATGTAAATGTGGAATATACCAATTAGTTAGGATAAAATAAAGATGAAAGATCCACAAATTTTTACGAACTCTTGAGTATGCAAATGTGAGCTATATCAGTTAGTCAGAGGAGTATGTTCGCCTATTTTCATTCGAGTTTGAACCCTTTCTCCGTAGATTAGGGTAATTTGGAATATCGACTTGTCACGTGACGTCAAGTTGGATGGGTTTGGGCCTCCATAATGTCAAGTGATCATGGGCCAAAGCAACAAAAAGGAATTGTAGTCCAGCTCAGCCCAAACTCAATGACCTTATTGGGCCTTTTGACAGCTGAAACATGAGCCGAATTTACTAAAAGCTCCTCATTCTTTCAGACAATACCCGATTTAGCCTTCAACCGCCATTTATCCTCGCGCCTTTTTCCCCTTCTGCACAATTCAAGAAGCATCCGGATTCCATCAGAACCCACGTGTCAACTCCAATGGGAGCTTTGACATGTTCCGGTCGCAAGGCAACAACAAACGCTGATGCAAATTTGATGACCTGGCGCATCGCCACTGGATGGAATACGCATGACGGAAAATAGAACTGAACCAAGGCCAAACTGTATAAATACGAACCCCTGAAGCTCAGGTCTCTCAGTCAGCTGAAGTTCAGACAAAATCACAAACACCACATAAAAAAGAAGGCAAAGATTTACAGACAAAGCGCAGCAGATTATAGAGAAACTACGAGAAACAAAGCAATGGAGGTGAAGAAGATCCAAGCATTGTCGTTCACGTTTCTGCTTCTCTTTATTTCAGGTACCAAAATGATCAAATTAAGCTCAATAAAAATTATCTGCTAGTTTCTTAACACAGTTGATAATTTTAATCTTTGAAAATTTGAGCTTTTGGTTAGTCTCTGTCACTTACAACTCTTGTTACGTTAAATTTGCTGAAGAAGTTGAGATTTTTTATTTTTGCTTGGCTAGAATTCTTGTGTGGAATAGCATCGGCAGCCGGAGGTTCATCCAAGGTGGGGACTGTGATCGGAATTGATCTCGGAACTACGTATTCTTGTGTGGGAGTGTACAAGAATGGTAATGTAGAAATCATAGCAAACGACCAAGGCAACAGAATCACACCCTCCTGGGTTGCCTTCACTGACACTGAGCGTTTAATTGGAGAGGCCGCAAAGAATCAAGCCCCTCTCAACGCAGAACGCACGATTTTCGGCGTCAAGCGGCTTATTGGGAGAAAGTCAGCAACTTTACTTGATAATTGGGTTGAAAGAGTTTGTCGGTTATTTGTGTGCTTAATTTGGGTTGTGAACTTAAATCGGTTTTGTTTGATTTGGTGTTTTGTTTGAAGGTTTGATGATCCAGAGGTGCAGAGAGATATTAAGTTTTTACCATATAAGGTTGTGAACAAAGATGGGAAGCCTTATATTCAGGTGAAGGTTAAAGGTGAAACAAAGGTGTTTAGCCCTGAGGAAATCAGTGCTATGATATTGGGTAAGATGAAGGAAACAGCTGAGGCCTATTTGGGGAAGAAAATCAAAGATGCTGTGGTAACAGTTCCAGGTATAGTCAGACTTTCCTCTCTTAATCTTGTATATCACTGTGGAAATTAGATAATACCCATGAGAATACACAGTGATTATGTTATTGTATACATTGGTCTAATTGGTTGCTTTTCATTGGTTCTTGTAGCTTATTTCAATGATGCACAGAGGCAGGCTACCAAGGATGCAGGCATCATTGCTGGGCTCAATGTGGCCCGAATAATCAATGAGCCTACAGCGGCAGCTATTGCCTATGGTCTAGACAAGAAAGAAGAGAAGAACATCTTGGTTTATGATCTTGGTGGTGGTACATTTGATGTTAGCATTTTATCCATTGATAATGGTGTGTTTGAGGTAAGGTCTACAAGTGGAGACACCCACTTGGGAGGAGAGGACTTTGACCATAGAGTGATGGACTACTTCATCAAGTTGATCAAGAAGAAGTATAACAAGGATATTAGCAAGGATAACAAGGCTCTCGGGAAGCTTCGAAAGGAATGTGAGAGAGCTAAGAGAGCCTTGAGTAGCCAGCACCAGGTCCGGGTGGAGATTGAGTCTCTTTTTGATGGGATTGATTTCTCAGAGCCATTGACAAGGGCTAGATTTGAGGAGTTGAACATGGACTTGTTCAAGAAGACCATGGGGCCAGTGAAGAAGGCTTTAGAAGATGCAGGCCTCAAGAAAAAAGATATTCATGAGATCGTGCTCGTTGGAGGGAGTACTCGAATTCCTAAGGTGCAACAGTTGTTGAAGGACTTCTTTGATGGGAAAGAACCAAACAAGGGAGTCAATCCTGATGAGGCTGTTGCCTTCGGTGCTGCAGTTCAGGGTGGAGTTCTCAGTGGAGAAGGCGGGGATGAAACCAAAGACCTTCTTTTGCTTGATGTTGCCCCTTTGAGTCTTGGTATTGAAACAGCTGGTGGTGTCATGACAAAATTGATTCCAAGGAACACTGTTATCCCAACTAAGAAGTCTCAGATCTTTACCACTTATCAAGACCAGCAAACCACAGTATCCATCAAGGTATGTTTATAACAGATAAATGCACAAGCTATTGAGATGGGAATTGCCACATATTGCATAATGTGTGTATTTTGGTGTTTTGACTAATGTTCGTCTTTGAAAATTATCAGGTGTATGAAGGTGAAAGAAGCTTGACAAAGGATTGTCGCTTGCTTGGAAAGTTCGATCTCACTGGCATTGCACCTGCTCCAAGGTAAACCAGAGTGCTAGTTTGTCACTTATTTGGTGTGCTTGATTGACATATACTGAAAGCTGAATGTTTTATTTTTCTCTTGCAGGGGGGTGCCCCAAATTGAGGTGACCTTTGAGGTCGATGCAAATGGCATCCTACAAGTGAGAGCGGAGGACAAGGCGGCAAAGAAGTCTCAATCAATAACTATTACTAACGACAAGGGGCGTCTGAGCCAGGAGGAGATAGAGAGGATGGTGATGGAGGCTGAGGAATTTGCAGAAGAGGATAACAAAGTGAGGGAAAAGATAGACGCCAGGAACAAGCTTGAGACCTACATATACAGCATGAAGAGCACCATCAACGACAAGGACAAGCTGGCAGATAAGATTGACTCAGATGACAAGGAGAAGATTGAAAGCACACTGAAGGAGGCTCTTGAATGGCTGGATGACAACCAAAACGCAGACAAGGATGACTTTGATGAGAAGCTGAAGGAGGTGGAAGCAGTGTGCAATCCAGTGATAAAGCAAGTCTATGAGAAGAGTGGTGGAGCTTCTTCTGCTGATTCTCAGGATGAGGAAGAACTAAATGATGAGTTGTAGACAGCAAGGGAGATGAAAGTTTGAGGGTTTTGTTGTAGAAAGTAGCATGGGTTTGTTTTTTCCCCGACCAAAAAAAAAAGTACCATGTTTTTTTTATATATTCTTGGGTGTTCATGTATGTTGAATGGAAAGTTGAGTTCTTTCATTTCAATCATGTTTTAATTTAAAGTTCCTATAAAAAAAGAAATCATGTTTTAAAGCCACAAAAAAAAAAAAACAAGAAAATTGACAGCAATCATAATTCACAACACAACACAACACAAGGGGGGAAGGCAAGGCATCCATATATTCCAACGACTTGCCGTATGCGTGATCAAGTTGACGGACGACATGACGTGGGATCACAGGACAAAATGTAATGAAAACCCCAACTTCAAAATTGCCCACTACGGAGTTTGGCGGGGATAGTTCCCCCAGAGAGAGAGAGAGTTCTTGGCGCTCTGACGGGCTAAAGACTAAAGTAAGCTCTCATGCTTTCTATTTTCCCTCTTTGGATTTTAATCTTGGTAGCGTCATTGTATTTCTTCAATTTTTTGTTTAATTGTTCACTATACGCGCGGAATTGTTCTTCGTGGTTGTTAATTTTCACGATTTGGTTGCTTAGAACATGAAGAAAATCAGAAATGAAAGAAATTATCTTTAAGCTCTGAACCCAGTCTCGCACCACTATTACTTATTCAAATCGATTTTCTTATGAAGGAATTAAATTAGGACTTGTTCAGGTAATAAGGGGAAGGGCAAGATCCCTTTTTTATATAAGAAACAAAAGGCTGTTATGAAGGCTTAGAAAAAGAAAGTTGGTTTAAAAATAAAGTTCCAATTCTATTGACATAACCCAACTGCAACCATACAATTCAATTGGATTTTGAATATTATGTATTTTTTCATGCAGGAATTCTGTTTTGCAGCTTGCATTTTGATGCATGCTTGACTTTGGGTTTCCTATTCTTTTGCTACAGACCCTTTTCATACCATGAATGCCAATGGCGTCTCAGCTGATGAAGTCATTGCAAAACTGCTTGAAATGGGTTTTGAGAATTCCACTGTCAAAAAGGCTGTAAAAGAAGTAGGGCCATCATTTGATGATGCATTGGATTATATATTGAATGGTTGTTGTAGTACCAATCGGAGAGCAACAAGAGCATCATCAACTAGTTCTAGTTCCATGAGAAATGTAAAGGCTCCCGGGAAAAGATCTCTGCCTACCTCATTCCCTCCGGCTCAAATTCGACAGTCTAGCATACTGGAGCATTTTCAATCCAATAGTAGACACAAAAGGAGTAAAACTGATGGGGTACCTGATGTATCAGTTTCTGGATCAGAAATAGTACGTGGTCCTATAGAACAATGTTTGAAACCTCTTTCTGGCATGAAGTGTACTGTTGAAGTTTTATCAGACTCGTCTCCGCTTGATTGCCTGGCGGATCAATCAGATTGGCAGAAGAAAGCTAACAGTCTCTTGCAAAAGCATTTTGGTTATTCATCATTAAAAAATTTCCAGAAGGAAGTCTTGGCTGCTTGGATGGCTCACCAAGATTCTCTTGTTCTTGCTGCAACAGGGTCAGGTATTATTATCCAGCTTATGTTTGTGTTGT